ACCGTGATAAATGAACTAGGGCAAGCGCGCACACTAGAGGTGATAAATGAACTAGAGCATGCGCGCACGCTAGAGGTGATTGGAATAACCGGTGCAATGGAAGATTTTTGGCAAAAAGCATTCAAGTCCACAAGTGTAGTTGGTTGAATTTTTGGAACATTGATGGTTGAAAAGGCTAACGGTTGCTTCATGGTAACCTCGTACGAGGCAACCTTAATTACAGGCTTCGAAATTATATGGCATGATAAAGGTCCTATTGGATTTGCCGATGAACAAAGCAAGTGGCAAGAAACCAGCAAAACAAGAATGCAGAGATGCATGGGTTGGGCAGGTTGTAAGCCATCCTTAAATAATAAAAATGAAACTAAAATTTAAAATTAAACCAATTGAATTTGTATTTTTTAAAATGTTCAACCCTTCAAATAATCGGAAAAAGACAAAGTCCACCAGCTCAACGGCCAAGCAAATAAGGGATGTTCAACGGTCGCTAAAATTGGAGTCTCTATCCGCTTCTGTTAGAGTTGAGCTTGAGCGCAAGCTCAAGACCCTTCAGCAACTGTCGATGGAGTCCAAGGCTAGAAGCGGACATACAGATGTGCAGAAGATCCATATGGAAAAATATAGAATGGTAAGATTTTTCGAGAAAAAAAAGGCACTGAAAAGGCTAAAATCTCTCATAAAATCCAATGCGCCCAGCGAGGAAGTTGATAAGGCCAAGTTGGATTTGAATTACACAGTCCATTTCCCTAAGGATACAAAGTACATTTCTCTTTATCCAAATAACAATTCTGAATCTCCCATTGTGCTCGAAAAAAAGGCAAAAATAATGGGATCAATTAAAAGCGATATTGCTTCGGGACTCCTCTGTGACATCGCTTCCGAGCTACTACTTTCTGGCATGATTTCAGGTCACACGGACAAATAATAACTATGTTGCTTTATTTTTAACTGCCTGTTCCTTGATTCTTTGGATGTATAGATCAGGACTAGATCTATTTATAAATAAAATTGATATCAACATACCTAAAAAGCGAATACGCCAGTTCTTGAGCCGGACTTTTTGGGTTTGGTTCAGTAAGCAAGTCCTGGATGCCAAGAAGAATCTATAAATTCAGATGAGAATGCAACTTGTCTTATGGTGACCGAGGGTTTCCAGTCGTTCGTAAGTAATGAAAGGCATACAGTGCCACTAGGGAACACATTTGGGTGAAATAAAGGTGGTGTGAAAACACCTAGGAATTAAGGACAATTGAAAACATTTCGGGGGAGCTGTTGGATAATCGTTCCCAAATGTCATAGTGAGCTTATAGACACCTCCAGCCCAGGGAGTCTATCATAAAAAGGTGCATTAAGTACATTTTCTTTTCCGGGGATCCCACATTTCCATTGAAGGAGATTCATAGAGCCATCATCGTTAGTATCAGGCTTGGCGTAAAATCCCTAAAATAAAGAATGTTTTATTACAAAAGGATGGTCTTTTCTCCATTGCCGACGCTCCTCAGTCAAGCGAGTGAGTGCAAGAGAAAATGTACTTGATTCCAGATTTTAAAAATTAAAATTCAACCCAGTTTATTGGCAGATCTAGTTGTCAAAGGGATGAACATAGGTGACACCAAGTTGCTTGAAGCACTCTTCTCTACTTTTGCGATGAGGAATAACATATGTTCGATAGTATATTTCAGCGAATACAATTCCAGTGCCCAATGCCAACGCAGTAGATCGATAGAAGCTACGCTTGAGCATATCTTTGACAATAGGAACATGAAATTTGGGGTTCATTGTAAAACAAAGTAGTAAATTTTTTAATTTAAACCAACTATGACATTACCCAGGTCGCAAATAAAGCAATTTGAAGGCCTCATTTAAGGCCATCACCACGATTATGGGAAAGACCAGCATCCCACGCGGCATGCATGCGGACACCAACGTGCACCAAAAAGCAAGCAAGGAGGCGATCAAGGGTTAGGGTGTGGTTGGCGGGACGATTGAGATTTGGCGCCAAAAGCGTAAATTTAGCGGCAACCAGCAGTATATAAATGGCAGCCCCAAATGGGCAATTTTAAGTTGAACTTTCATTTCAACAGGCACACTTACGCGCTAACACCCCACCCCTCTCTCCCCCCCCACACATCTCTTCATAATGGCTGCCGGTAAAGGAGGAAAAAAATCCATCAAATCAAGCTCGCGCTCCGAAAAGGCTGGACTGCAGTTTCCAGTCGGTCGTATCCACCGTTTTCTGCGACGCGGAAACTATGCCCAGCGCATTGGATCTGGCGCGCCCGTGTATCTGGCCGCAGTGCTGGAATATCTGACGGCCGAAATTCTCGAGTTGGCAGGAAACGCTGCCAACGACTACAAGAAAAAGACGATTTCGCCCCGCCATCTGCAGCTTGCCATCCGCAATGATGAGGAGCTCAACAAGCTGCTCAAGAATGTCACCATTGCTTCTGGAGGAGTCTTGCCACACATCCACTCTGTTCTTCTTCCCAAGAAGACAAAGAAGGAGGACGGATCTCAGAGCCACGAATACTAATTCCTGGAGCAGATCGCAGCCCGCCATCTTATACAATAGTCATCGGCCTTTTGGCCTCCCTTTAAGCGCGCCATAGATGCTGTCCTTGTGTGTGCATGCGCACCGCCCCTCGTGTGCTTGCCACTGGGGTCAAGTAAATGTGTAACTTTATTACATGTCATGTGCACAGCCATCGGCGCCGGCCCATCATGCCGCGCCGCGCCATGCCATAAAACACCTTTCCGGGCTGCACTGGGTATTGAAGCTTAGCTTTTAAACTTGCCCATGCTAACTTGCATTGGACTTTTTTCATCCTAAATATTTTATCGCTTTAATTTAATTTAAATATGCTCGCAGATGAGGATCTGTATGACGAGTTTGGAAATTACCTCGGTGAACCTACAGAAAGACCCATTATAGCATCTCCTCTAGAAGAACATTCAGTTCCTTCTTCTGAGCTTGTTGATCAATATTCCGAGAGCTCTTCGCTTTCTGTTGTCCTTCACGAGGAAAAGAACTATTATCCCTCTGCTGAAGAAATCTATGGGCCTGATCTCGAAATCAAGGTTGAAGATGAGGATCGTCAGACCCTTTCAGAGCCTATTATTGCCCCAATTAGGCATGATATTTTTCAGGTTCTTCCAATATCTGCAGAGCCCATACCCTCCGCTACTTATACACCCAGCTACTTGAGTGAATCTCTGATCCACCGAACTGAACGCATTAGAAATGTTGCAATAACTGGGGCTCTTCATCACGGAAAAACCTCGCTCTTAGATATGCTAGTAGCCGCAAGTCATCCCCAAGTCGTTAACTTTGACCCTAACCGTCCTCAAAAATGGACCGATACCTCGTTTATGAGTCGGGAGAGAGGAATATCCATGTCGGCTACACCGCTTACTCTTATTCTCCCCAACTCCAAATCTCAAAGCTTTATTATGAATTTCCTTGATACGCCTGGTCATACAGACTTTGGCGATGAAATTATGGCAGCTCTTGCCTTATGTGATGGATTGATGATAGTTGTGGATCTGCTTGAAGGCATAAATTCACGTACAGAATCCATTTTGCGATATGTAGCTATCAATCGGATGCCAGCCGTGTTGTTCCTCAACAAATTCGATCGCCTAATTTTGGAGTTGCGGCTTCCACCTTCTGACGCTTACCACAAGATTAAGCACACCATTGATGAGATTAATACATTTTTGCGGACCCTTGGGATCACCGAACCCGATGATCCGCTTTTCTTTTCCCCCAAAAGAGATAATGTGCTTATGGGAAGTGCAAAATATGGCTGGCTTTTTTCTCTCGATTCTTATTGCCGTCTCTTGACACCACCCGTAGAGGAAAGCTGCTTTCCATGTTTCTGGGATGACATTGTCTACCTGCGTGATGAGAGCAAATTTGCACCCCTTTCTACAAATCCTCAGTTACCACGGACATTCATAGAATGGGTTATCGAGCCAATTTATAAGCTTCACCTTACGGCAATTGGCATCGACTCGATTGATCAGATTTCCTCCATCCTTGCACAAGCCGGAATAGTGCTGAAGCGCTCCGAGATTGCACTTGCAGCAACTAATCAGCATCATCTTATCGCCAAGGTAATGCAACAATACCTTGGTGGTTATGAGGGTATTCTTGGCGCTTTTACTGACTGCATCTATCGGCGTATTCCATCGCCCCTAGAAAACGCTCCCTTAAAAGTATCTTTCTTTTTTCATTTTTAGATCCAACAAATCTATTCAGGACCATGTGACAGTGAAAGCCCTAGCATTCGGACAAAGGCAATGTCTGAGTGTGATCCTCAGGGGCCTTTGATGGTTTATATTAGCAAGCTGATGCCAACTGCAGATGCAAAATCTTTCCTTGCCCTTGGACGCGTGCTTTCAGGGACCATAAGAGCAAATAGCTTGATCAAGGTATTGGGCGAGCACTTTGTCCCAAACATTGACGAAGAAGACTCTTCCCCGCAGTTTTTGGAGAAAATTTACTTGCCTCTTCCGATGCATAATTTGGAAGTTGCAGAAGCACCTGCAGGTTCCATTGTGCTTCTTGGCGACTCTATCCATAATGTCATTTTAAAGACAGCAACCATCGTTCAAGTTGAACAAAATATGGAAGACCCTGCCTTTGTTTTCAGGAGGCACTTTTTCACTGGGGCTCATCGTATTTGTTCTCTCTCTGTCATCAAACTTGCCATTGAACCGATGCATCCAAGCGAGCTTCCAAAGATGCTTGATGGGCTTCGAAATCTAACCAAAGCTTACCCTCAAGCTGAAGCTCGTGTGGAAGAATCTGGCGAGCATGTGCTCTTTGGGACCGGGGAACTGTACCTCGATGCTCTGATGCACGATTTAAGGAGGCTATATGGTCAGGTCGATATTCGCGTGGCAGATCCGTCTGTAAGGTTCAGTGAGACCATTGTGGAAACATCCTCCCTTATATGTACTGCCATGAGCCCTAATAACGAGTAACGATTATCATTTCAACGTAGAAATTCGATTTCAATGATTGCGGAGCCCCTTGAAATGAGTATTCTTGAAGATCTTGAAGCAGGCGTGATTCCATCGCCAGCTGCACAGTCCTCTAAAGAGATTTCATCGTTCTTTGTGTCAAACCTGCAGAAATATGGCTGGGATTTGCTTTCCGCCCGCTCGCTATGGGCTTTTGGCCCTTCCGAGGAGAGAGGGCCGAATGTGCTTCTTAATGAATACCTACCTGCAAAGGATGCCTCACTCGAGGTGCGCAGTCTAATTTCAAGCCCAAATATCAGGGAGGCCATAACCCAAGGGTTCCATTGGGCATGCCGCGAAGGACCGCTTTGCGACGAGCGTATGCAGAGCTTTTGTTAATCTATAGCGATTCGGGGAACAAAAATCAAGCTTGTGGATGCCTCGTTTGCCAAAGAGCAGATTTTACGGGGCTCAGGTCAGATAATCCCTGCTGCAAGAAGAGCCGTATATGCTTCTTTTCTGACGGTTTGAATCAAACTTAATGTGTAGGCTTCTCCAAGGATTATGGAGCCCGTTTATGCCGTTGAAATACTCTCACCTTCCGATTGCATTCCTGCAGTGTATACGGTGCTCAATCGCCGTCGTGGGCATGTTTTACAGGACATTCCGAAAGCAGGTATCCCATTGTACTTGGTCCGCGCGCTGCTTCCCTGCATCGAGTCGTTTGGCTTTGAAACGGACCTGCGGACTCAAACACAAGGGCAGGCTTTCTGCCAGATGAGTTTTGATCATTGGCAAGTGGTCCCCGGAGATCCCATGGATGAATCCATCACCCTTGTGCCTTTAGAACCTGCCCCAGCCACCCATCTGGCCCGAGACTTTATGGTCAAAACTAGGCGAAGAAAAGGCCTTTCAGAAAACGTTTCTGTTGTGAAGTATTTTGACGAGTCGATGCTGGGGGCTCTTTCGCTTCAGGAACGCACCTTTACGGCTCCAGGTCTAGCCTAATGTTGGACATTAAATTCCCGCCCATGCTACGATGAGTTTACGTTTTGTTTATGAAAATAAGCTGTCAATCCAAGTAATCCCTGCCGCCGTCTTTATCAATGTGCTCACTTAAATCATACAAGTTAGTTTATTGCTCGGAAAAACAATCGAATGGCATACATCAACACGGGTATAGGTATCCCAAAGAGAGCGGGATTTTACGGAAAATCGGAGATATTTTCGATGTGAACCCTGCATCGAATGCCTGGGCATTATGCAATCCGTTTGCATCCTTGGGAGCGCTATCAGTTTCCTTTGGTGATCTCGATGGGTCAGCCATTTTAATCCTGTTTGCCTGTTCGCTGCAACAAATAATATGAACACCTGTTTAGGTGCCCGATTTCTTCGGTCGTAAGCGGGCAGTTCTTGCAAGGGGGGTTTCAGTAGGCTTCGAAATTCCAGCGGCTTGCAATTTTGTAAGTTCTAATTTGCATTCTGCCCCACAAGCGAAGAGCAATGGCGCTTCGATTTCTACGCAATATGGGATCAAATCGATTTATGTCCATCCACATTAAAAATTACATCTAAAACCAACACAGAAGAACACTTTTCAGAAGTAGCCAGTAGCGAGTAGCCAATGGGCATTGAATTTTCCAAATAGCTCTGGGAAAATTTTGGTCTCAAGCTTTGGGTATATTTCTTTAAGCGATGCAGCCAAGTGGCTCATCTTTTTCATACAAAAATCAGATGTGCAAGCAAGAGATGCTCGATTTAAAGATCAAGGGATTTTATTATCAAAATCAATGAGCCCAAGATGATTTAGGGATAAATAAAAAGCTAATACCGATTCTGGGCCTAGAAGAAATATGAGCTGCATGTGCACCAATCGCAAGAACACCAAAAACAAAAACCAAACCACAGCCGAGGATATTTATCCTTTCCTCCCAAGAAAGGCAATATTCCTGGCTAACTGTTCCCCTCTAACAAGATGAATGAATTCAGAATCGACTTCAGATTACGATTTATTTGGCTATAGAAATAGGGACAAATAGAAAGTTTTTTCCAAATTAAATAGAAAACAGACAAATGCTGCCGTGCACAGGGAGCAGTCTCCCTTGATCCAAAGACCATTAGTGACCTCGACTAGTAAAGTATGTTTTGTAAAATTTAAAAGCTAACCTTGATGCACAAATATCAATTAGCGATAGGATTTAATTTTCTCCTTGCCTCATAATGGTGTTTACCTCGTGCATTTTGCTCCTCGTCATTTCATGCCTTGGTATAGATGCCGTTTCTTAAATATTAGGAATGGCTCTTGTGTCCATGGTCATTAAATCTTTTTCTCCGCTTTTGCTAAAAGCTGGGCTTCAAGGGAAAGATTTAAATAAAAAGTCTAGCCGACAAATGTTTTGCCTTTTTTTAATCTTGTAGACCAGAAGGTTGCGGGATCATCTCTGGAGCAATATACTTAGTAATTTTGTTTATTTTTATACCATGTCCTTTTTTTCTCTTCTCCGGAGCGCCTCCCGCCGACTTCAAACTGCCTATAATGATGGTATTTGAGGTTCATTTACAAAATAGCTTATGGATTTTACCAGTGCGCTCCTCTCGATATCATCGATGATTTTGCTTGGGTTTTCAGACGATGTCTTGAACTTGAAATGGAAGTTCAAGCTCATATTTCCAGCCGTTGCGTCCATTCCGCTGCTAACGATTTATTATGCCTGTCATGGCGGCACGCAAATCGTGCTGCCTCCAAGAATACTTTCTTTTTTTAATTTGCTCCAATATAAGTATATTGACTTGGGTCTTCTATATTACCTGTTTATGATTGCTGTTTGTATCTTCTGTACCAATGCCATTAACATCCTTGCTGGGATTAATGGACTTGAAGTGGGACAATCAATTGTCATTGCAATTTCAATGATCATTAATAGCTCTATGCACGTTTTCTCTCCGGAATCGTATCCTAAACAGGTAAAATAGAAGACCCAAGT